GCGCCCCGCAGCATCTTACACAATGAGGCACAAGGGCGGAGTCTTGTCCCTGCTGCCCGGCTGCCATGTCCTTAGTTGTGCTGCTCTGCACAGGCTGCGCCTGGGGCGACTCTCCTCTGTATGTATATGTACCTACTCCATAGATCTAGTCTACTCTACACACTATGGCTAGATTCCCTAGCTTTTCTGGTTGCAAAATCTCCCAGGGAAGTAACAGCAGGTTGGGTTACAGCAGTGGTAAATATATTCTTGAGGAGAAGTTGGTATATCCTTAAATCCAAATTAGTTTATTTATTATATGAGCAATTTTCTGATAAGTACAATTTATTTATTATAACAAAATCACCTTGAATAGGATGAAACACAAATCCCTATTTTAATTAAATAAAGGCTAAACACTTGTTATAATGAAATCTGTTCCAATCTGATTCAGGAAAAAACAGCTATTAGTTTTGATATTTCCCACTGGAGACAAGCACGAAACAAAAATAACAGTGATGTTTATGTGCAAAATAAACAGAGAACACAAAAGTGTTATAAGCGTTAAAAACCTCATATGAGTATCAGAAATGTCCCAGCAGAAAACACATGACTATTTGCCACACTGAACTTTGTATATGTGTGTAAAAACGTCAGTATAGTGTTGAACCCGAGGCACTAATATTTCTAATCTAAGAACATGCTCGGTAAGGCCACTGTGATTTATTTGGAAGAGAAACAAATTTATATTTATTTCTGTATTAAGAAAATATACTAAAATGAGCAGGCAAGGAGAACGGCAAAATCTACAGGTGTGGATAGGGCAAAAAAGTTACGACAGTGGTATCAGTGCAATTGAAGGCAACTCTTTTGTACTTGCATACAACACTGACACACATACAGATAATCCTGTTAGCAACTAAACAACACTGAAAAAAGTGACTTATGACCCATTCTTGCACTTATCACTGTTGCAGCATCCCTATGCAACCAGCATGTATTTTTGACAATGGCAGTGTCTCAGTGTCATCTGATTGCCATATGGAACCTTCCTAGCCACCCTCTGACAGTCAGTGGGGATTCACTTAATGACATGATTCACTTAACAGCCGGGCCTTGTATTATATTTATTTATTTTATCACCTTTATTATTTTTTTATAAATAACTCAAAGTGGAAAACTTACGGTATTTAATACTCCCTCTTCCTCCTATTTTCCCCACAGCAATAACCCTATGAGATGAGTTGGGCTAAGAGAGTGAGCAATTGGCCCAAAATTAACCTGCTGGCATTGATACCTAAGGTGGGACTAGAACTCACTGTCTCCTGGTTTCTAGTTGGTGCCTGAACTACTAGACCAAACTGGTTCTCTATATTGGGTTTTAGAGGTAGTTTCTAGCATCTTGAACTGCACTCAGAAACCTAGTGATTGGAATATATAAGTGAAAGAGGGAAGGCCCAGAGATAAAGCTGTAGGATAAAACTGGAAAAGCACAAGACAACATTTCAGGTTTACCGTAGAAATGCTTATGTAGTTTTCTTGATAGCAACATGGAATATCTTGCTAATGCGCTTTCCTGAGATGTTTTCCCAACTTCCCAGTCTTGCCTACTACTCTTTGAGATTTCCTACTGGCCTTTTTACCAGTTCTAATCAGGATTGGCTCTGCTTTGCTTTAAGATCACCAGAGTAGGCCAATTGCTTCCCCCTGCTGTGGATAGTTGGTAAAACCAAGACCTTAATGGCATAATAATAGTAATAAAATAAGGGTAAAAGGAAATTTAATATGAATGATATTAAAATATTTTATCTAAAAGAGAGGCTAGGGAAATATTATAAAATAAACTTAGAAATGTATCAATTTAAGATGAAATATACAGACTGCATTTCTTTTTGGAAATTGTTTAATATCTTTATCATTGTAATTACAGAGGAATATAGGTAATCCTTGACTTATGACCACGACTGAGCCTAAAATTTCTGGTGCTAAATGAAACATCTGTTAAGTGATTTTTTGCCCCATTTTATGACTTTTCTTGCCAGTTAAGTGAATCACTGCAGTTGTTAAGTTAGTAATACAATTATTAAATGAAACTGGCTTCCCCAATGACTTTATGAGATAGTCTCAAAAAGTGATCACATGATCCTAAAACGCTGCAACCGTCATGAATATGAGTCAGTTGCCAAGTGTACAAATTTTGATCACAAAACCATGCTGCAATGGTTGTAAGTGTGAAAAACAGTCATAAGTCACTTTTTTCAGTGCCATTGTAACTTTGAATGGTCACTAAATGAACTATTGTAAGTCGAGGACTACCTGTAGTGTGACATGGAGCTTCATGAACGCAGGAGCATTCATATAAATGATGTAACATGGGAATGAATTAGTATATCTCATTGTTTCACAGCCTGGGCAACTTTAAGTTGTATGGACTTCAATTCCCAGAATTCCCCAGCCAGCATATCGGCTGGAAAATTCTGGTAGTTGAAGTTTACATTTTAAAGATGTCACGGTTGAGAAACACTGTTATGTATTATGTGATTAAGATTGAGGAGTTGAGATCAGTAACACATTCTTTATATTTAATACATTTATCATACTGCTTATATTTAATATAAGATAGTTTAAGTAGACATTTGTGTTTTATTTTGTTTGGTTTATTTGATCACTGTGAAAGTTACTTTTTTAAAAAAAGGCTTCCTCAATACACTTTCAACAAATTAGGAGGAACACAACTGCACATGCATTCATTGATGTTTGTGTTTATAAACAATGCTGTATACTGAAATTTCATCATTGCTGTTAAAGATACATGGGGGTTTTAAAAGAGCACATTATTATCCTAATTTGGATTTTGGATTTGTTCCAATAAATAAAGCCAGTTTGAAATAATGGTTAATCCGCTTGGTTTCTAGGAGACTATGTGTTCTGGTCCTGCCTTAGGTATGAAAACTAAGGGTGGGTGACCTTAGACCAGTTACTTTCTCTCAACCCAACCCACCTAACAGGGTTGTTGTTATGGGGAAAAGAGGAGGAGAAAAGACTATTACATATATTGGCCACCTCAAGTTATTTGTAAAAAATAATAAAGGAGAGATAAAAATATTGAAAATAAATTAACAGACACTATTTTTTGCTTTTTATAGTTGATGTCCTCTTTCTCCTCAGCCTTACATTGCCCTCCAGTGGCCATATTGCTCTATTTTGTTGGGTGAATTTTATCTTTTGCTCCATATAGACGAGTACTACATGCAAAGGGGAAAATATATATCATAGTGAAGTTTTTCTAAATATCAAGATTTTTGCAACTATTGATAAGGCCAATTTTTACACTCAGAAGAGTGTCAGAGGTAGCAAGTGAGCTGTGAAAGTAATTACAGGTAGTTCTCGACTTACAACAGTTTGCCTAGTGACTGAAGTTACAACGGCACTAAAAAATTGACTTATGACCATTGCAGCATCTCCATGGTCACATGATTTATATTTGGATGCTTGACAACTGACTTATGATGGTTGCAATGTCCCGGGGTCATGTGATCACCTTTTGCAACCTTCTGACGAACAAAGTCAATGGGGAAACCAGATTCACTTAACAACTGTGTTACTAATTTAACAACTGCAGTGATTCACTTAACAAATGTAGCAAGAAAAGTCATAAAATGGGGTAAAACTCACTTAACAAATTTCTCACTTAGCAACATAAATTTTGGGCTCAATTGTGATTGTAAGTTGAGGACAATCTGCAATAATAATTTGCTACGGAGGAGGAAAATGGTAGCTGACCTTGACTTGCATTTAAAAAAAGCCTTTTCCAAAGAGCTTTCTTTGAGCCTGGGTGCTTTAACCTAAGCCCAATTTTATCATTGGGATTTCCAATGGAAATTTTTAATTAAATCTTAATTCAAGTACATTAAATTTCAATTTTGAATAAACTCCAAATATTATAGTTTTTGCTTTGTTTCTGCTCTGAGTGATTGGAAAAAGCATCTGGAATAATAGAAGAGATAATTTCCAGATAATTTAGAGACTGTATGAGTAAAACGATTCCCCCCCCCTTTTTTTTTAAATGGGAGTATTTTAAGTGGAACTCTATTTGAAAATCTTCCTAACAATTGAATAAAAATGATAGCATACAATTCCTGCATTCTGGGGCGGGGGAAAAGGTCTTTTTTCTTTCATGGACAATTTACAATTTGGTAATCACCTTTTAAAAGGTCTGATGGGAAGGTGTGCCGGTGGGGAAGATGACATACTGCAATTCTGTCATTGTTATCAATAATATATTGCTGTGTTCGTGGATGCCGGATCAGACATCTCGGGTGGACCCCAATCTGGCCATTGAAAGCGTGTCAGAATGAGCCCACAGCTTCTCCGGACGGGCAACTGCAGCATCTAGAAAGAGGACTACCCACAGAAATTGTCTTGTATGTATCTTAATTTACAACCCAAATGTTGGAGATGTGGAAATTAAGATGCAACGTATTTTCATATGTGGTGGACATGTAAGGAGGTTAAAGTATTTTGGATTAAGATTTGGTGGAATATTCAAAATATTTTTAAGAAAAAGATAAAGTTTAAACCACAGATATTTTTGTTGGGTATTTTGGAAGATTTGGATGCAAAAGAAGTGGAGTTGATGTTAAATCTTATAACGGCTGCAAGATTATTA